ACCCCAAACCCTAAACCCTACCTAAGAGGTCGCCAGGGCTCGGACCTCCGGCTTCGCGTCGAAGTCGTCTTGACGGACTTCGTCTTGGGACTCCCGGCGCCCAGAGGCCCTCCTTTAGTAAAGGATTAGGGTTTAGGGTTCCTTTTTAAAGGGTGCTTTCAAGGCTTTCTTTCAGGGTTCCGAAGCCTTGGAGTGAAGGTTTAGGGGCGATCTTAAGCCATATGGGTAACCAGAGACTCCAATATCCTTTAATTAAGGAATATGCCTTAAATTATAGTAGGATCCCTAATATGATTTAAGGTATATTCCTTAATTAAGGGATATTGGAGTCTCTGAGCTCTGTTTGGGGTGCGAAATTGTAGGATGTCGGGTTTTAGGGTCTTAGGGTTTTAGCGGTTTTTAGGGTTTTAGGGTTTGTGAAAAGGGGTGTTAGGCTTTAGACTCTAGGGGTCTAGGGTTCTCTTGAAAAGAGGGTTTTGGGTTAGGTTCCTCTTGGGTTCAGGGTTTCTTTTAAAAGGGTTTTTATCGTTCGTTTTGGGTTGAGGGTTTAGGGATTAGGGATTAGGGTCCCGGGCTTCGGGCTTTGGAGTCAGGGATTTGGGTTTGGGTTTTGGGTTCTGGGGTTTGGGGTTCGTTTGAAGTGTGCTATCAGGGTTGAGTCTAAAGTAAAGACCGTTACAAAGCCGTGAGCATGTACTTATAGAGCCCTTCGAGTCTAGGACATTTTCAGGTGGGTAGTTAATGTTGTAGGAGCCTTATAGAACGTCTATATACCTTATAGAAGCCTTACAGGAGCTTTATCTACCCTAAACTCCCCACCTGTAGTTTCCTTCAATCGAGACTCCTCACACCCGAAACCCTAAACCTTAACTTCTAAACCCTAAACCCTAACTTCTAAACCCTAAACCCTAAACCCTAAACCCTAAACCCTAAACCCTAAACACTGAACCCTAACCCTGCCTCTGAAGCCGATTGAAAAGGTGACGCGCCCGCCTGCGGCCCGCAGGGCTCGGAGCTGAAGACGCTGTACCAGGAGGTTGAGAACGTCTCGGATGCGCTTTGCTCCCAGCACCTGAGCTCTTCTTCATGTAGCTTTGGGTTTAGGGTTTAGGGTTTAGGGTTTAGGGTTTAGGGTTTAGGGTTTAGGGTTTAGGGTTTAGGGTTTAGGGTGTAGGGTTTAGGGTTTAGGGGTTAGGGCTCTCAGCACCTGAGCTCTTCTTCATGTAGCTTAGTTCCCCAATACCCAACCTTTAAGCTTTTTGGGTTCTCATATTTTAGTAGCAATCTGAAAGTTTAATTTCTTTATTTCCCTGGCTTATTGGGGAAGTAAGGTAGACTTTGTGATGAACAAACCGCCCTTGCTGAATGAGGATTGCCATTGGGATCCTACTATCAGAGCCTTTAAGGAGGTTATGTTGGTCTGCCCTCGTTTCAAAGAACTTGATGTGAAGCAATAGTGAAAGGTGTCACAAGCACAGCTTAAATTCATTTCCTGCCAACCCATGGAAACCCTAAACCCTAAACCCTAACCCTACAAAACACCTTGTACAGTCCCTCCGGCACCCAAGAGCCCCCACCCCGCAACCCTGAACCTTGAAGACCAAAAGTCCTATACTTTGAAGACCAAAAGTCCTATAACAACCGCATAAAAAGCGGGTTTAGGGTTTAGGGTTTAGGGTTTAGGGAATCCTGCAACAAAAGCCCTTTTAAACATCTTCAGGTACTGTGGCCACAGACTGGACTGCTTCGAGTCCTATCCTGCTGCCAAAGGCTGCGGACCTGCCCAAGCCTGAACCTGAACCCCTAAACCCCTAAAGCCCAAACCCTAAAGCCTTAAATCCTAAACCCTAAACCCTGAACCCCTAAATACCCTAAACCCCTAAACCCCTAAACCCTAAACACCCTAAACACAAAACCCCTAAACCCTAAACCCTAAACACCCTAAACCCCTAAACCCTAAAAGGACAGCTTCAAACGAAGCCCCTCCAGTCTAAGGTAGAACCCATGGGCCCCTAACATGGGCCCTTAGGGGATTCTAGGGCCCCTTAAGGGTATATATAGGGTATATAGTAGGTATATTAGGGTCCCAGGGCTAAGGGCCCATACTAGGGGCCCATGGGTTCCACCTTAGATTAAGGGTTCCAAGAGAAACCTGAAGAGCCCATCAGACCCTGTAGAGTTTATAGAGCCCTACACTGTAAGTCCTCATGAGGTACTAGGGTTTGGGCTGGTTTTGCCAGTTAGCATTTGCGAGAGTTTGTGTTTACAGGCAGTTGTGCCCTGAGGGTAAGGTCTGGTGACGAAGTTCTTCCTGGAGAGTGAGTTGCGCTAAATAGGTGTAGCAGGGTCAAGGAACCAAAATCCTACTTGGAGATTCATGAGGCTTAGTTGTTATAAATATGTCAAGCGGTCTCAAAGCCGAGTATAAGTATAGTATAGTTACTGTAAATATACCCACAGTTACTAAGCCCCACCCACCTTTAAGTGCCAAAGCGTAGGTTATCCCTAAACCCTAAACCCTAAACCCTAAACCCTAAACCCTAAACCCTAAACCCCTAAACCCTAAACCCTAAACCCTAAACCGTGACACCTTAGCGAAGTGGGCGAGTACACACAAGGGCTCCCCAGAATCTTGGAAACCCGAGAGTTCGACACCAGAGCTGCAAACCCAAAGCCCCAAATCAAAACCCTACGGTTTAGGGTTTAGGGTTTAGGGTTTAGGGTTTAGGGCTATTTAGTCTACAGCGGCCAAACTAATTACCAAGACTATTTATACATATGAAAAGGAGCCCCAAAATAGGATTTGGGTGCTCTTTTTTATATCTACAGTATAATGTACACCAAAACCCTATTCCTATTTTAGATGACCCAGGGTCCTTGCAGGGGTGCGGGGCCATCATCAGTAAGGCTGACAACGCCAATGGCCAGCAGCATCATCACAGTGTTAATCATTGTCGTGACCAGGGACTCGTCACCAGAAGGCGCATAATCAGAGTCGTTGCCAGGGTTGATATTCACAAGAAAACAAGCCATTTATCATAATCTTAACCCTAAGCCCACGGATCATGGGACTTAGTAGCTACCCGCAGGTTCTAAGCAAGGAACTATATGTATACTGTTTAAAAACCCAATTCAGGTACTTTTAAAGCTAAGGCCAAGGATTCACGTAATGTTTTAGGCCCTTTGTGTCATAAACGGTTCCGTAAACTCTGGAGTACATGCCCCTGACTACCAGGCCCGAATCTCAAACTGAGAAGCGGCACTTGTAGAACGGTGCATGTACAAAGAGACACAGGCTGTACATCAACCCTAAACCCTAAACCCCAAACCCCCAAACCCTAAACCCTAAACCCTAAACCCTAAGCCTCAACCCCCTGAAGCCCGAGGACCTAAAATCCCCCTAAAGCCCATATAAAACACCATCAGGCTCTTATAAACCTTAAAAAAAAAGGCCCTAACCGTGAACAACCCTAAGGTCCTTCCTCATTGACGCCTTCACCTATTTGGCGGGCCACCGGGATTGCACTCTGGGGCCCCTGTGACCTAAACCCTAAACCGTTGAGGGTTTAGGGTTTAGGGTTTTGATACGGTAGAGTTTAGGATTTATGGACACCGACCCGAAGATCTCCTCGCTGTTACTTGCGGGGAGACTTCTTTTTTTTTGGGCTCCGCTGAGGGATCTATAAGGGTTTCTATAAGAGCTTCTATAGGAGGACTAGGAGGGTTCTACAAAGCTACCTGAAGGTTCATAGGGCTTCGTAAATGCAGTTGTAAGTACCGTAAGTGGGGCCATAATTTATAAGTAATCATAAGTATAGTTACTTCATTTTAGAACCCTAGTTACGAAGTCTCTAACCTTGAGACCGGCATCTCAAACTCTTCAAAGCCACCCGAGAAAAGATCACCCAGGCCGTAAACCCTATCCATCCGAGCCCTTCCAAGCATCCGAAGCTCTGAATCCCCTTTCGGGTTTAGGGGTTTAGGGTTTAGGGGTTTAGGGCTCTCTGAAGACCTCGTTCAAAAAAAGGGTTTAGGGGTTTAGTGGAAGCCCTAAACTCCAAACCCTGGGCCCTAAAACCTGAATCCTACGCCCCCAAAAAACGCCTAACACCCCGAAGCTTAAATCCTCGAACCGCCTCTCCACCAGCCAAGATCCCGCGTACTCGAATCCTGAACCTCGCAACATCCCAGATAAACCTCCAACCCCCAATCATAAGATTAGAAGCTTTATTGCGGAAGCCTGACTGATTACGTAGTAGTGCAATGTTCACATTTTATTAACCCAAGCACCCCCACCCTTAACCCTATTCTGATCAGATCGTGAAGGCCCCAGCCGTAAACATCTTTTGTGAACAGCTCGAAAACCCAATCAAGACAACTCTCAAATGCCCCCCCAAAAACTAATTGCAAGCCCCAGATACCAGATAATTCCTAAGTTTTCGAAGGCTCCAGAGCCGAGGCTTCTTCTCCACCTGATTTGGTGTTGGGTTCACGAAGGCGTTCGGGTTCTTTGGTTTTTTCCGGGGTGCATTCCTGAGGAATCAGTTTGCGCAACATAAACCCACGCAGCCCCCCGGAGGACCCAAGTAGCCGACTCAGGTCTCACATGTGATACCAGTACTTGTGTTTGGGCCAGTCGGCGTAGAATTTAAATCATACAGGGCTCTATAGGTCGTGAATGGGGTTCTTCTTTGCATGTAAATATAAATAAATAAACAATGTCTCTCTCTCTATGTATATATATATATATATATTTATACATATATCTTTACATATGTATGTGTACATACGTATATATATATATATACACACACATGGATATGCACATGTGTGTTTTTAAACACATACACACGTGCATACGTACATGCGTACATAAGTACATAAGTACATACATACATACATACATACATACATACATACATACATACTTACATACATACATACATACATACATAAATACATATATACAAGCATACATACATACACCTGTTATGCACAGACATATGTATGTATGTATGTGCGTACATAGGTATGTATGTATGTATGTATGTATGTATGCATGTATGTATGTATGTACGTATGTATGTATGTATGTATGTATGTATGTCTGTATGTAATTATGTATTTATGTATGTATGTATGTATGTATGTATGTATGTATGTATGTATGTATGTATGTATGTGTTTAGATGTATGGATAGATAGATAGTTAGCCTGGTTGATAGATCAAAGATAGATGGTATGCACTTTAGGGTTTATGGCTTTAGGTGTGTTATGGATGTTTTGTTTCAAGCGTGCTTTATGACTCATGGTTCTGATTGGGTACTGCAGGCCTTTCGGGGTTCTATTTGGTTTTTTCTGCATCTACGCTTTGGGGTGTAGGCCCCTTGCAACGCAACATGTCGGTGACTGTCGAAGTCGGACTGCTGAGTGGCAGGACAGCTGAGGTAAAAGCGGGATTGAATGGAAGCGTGGGAACGTTGAAACATCGGGCACAGACAGCACTCGGAGTCGGCAAAGGGCGACTGCTGGACGGGTCTGGACAAGTTCTCGATGCACGTGCATCAATTAAACGTGCTAAGCTGCAGAATGGTGACAAGCTGACGTTGACTATTAGCAGGGTCCAAATTAGCACTTCTAATGCTGCCTTTTCGGCCATCATGGGTGATGGATCCACGGTTACCTGGGGTGACATTGACACTGGTGGGGACAGTAGTCAGGTGCACAACCAGCTGCAGAATCTACAGCAGATACAGGCTACTATGGGCGCTTTTGCTGCCGTTCGTTGCGACGGACGCGTGGTGACATGGGGGGATGCTGACGAAGGTGGTGACTGTAGTGCTGTGCAGGTCCGGCTGCACAACGTGCAGCAGATCCAAGCTACTCACAGCGCTTTTGCAGCCATTCTTGACGACGGATCGGTCCTCACCTGGGGGAATGCTCGCGATGGTGGTGACAGTGCTGCAGTGCAGGATCAGCTGCAGAATGTGCGGCAGATCCAAGCCTCCGTCGGTGCTTTTGCTGCCATCCTAAGCGATGGATCTGTCGTGACCTGGGGTCAGGCTGCCAATGGTGGTGACAGTCGCGCCGTGCAGGGTCAGCTGAAGAAGGTGCAGCACATCCAAAGCAATGGAAGTGCTTTTGCTGCCATTACTCGGGACGGATCTGTCGTGACCTGGGGTGACGCTGACTGCGGTGCTGATAGTAGTGCTGTGCGGAAAGAGCTGAAGAACGTGCAGCAGATCCAAGCCTCCGTCGGTGCTTTCGCTGCCATTCTTGGTGATGGATCGGTCGTGACCTGGGGTGAAGCTGACTGCGGTGGTGACAGTGCTGCTGTCCAGGCTCAGCTGAAGAGCGTAAAGCAGATCCAAGCCTCTAACGTTTCTTTTGCTGCCATTCTTGGCGATGGATCCGTCGTGACCTGGGGCGCTGCACGCCATGGCGGTGACAGCAGTGCTGTGCAAGATCAGCTGATGGACGTGCAGCAGGTCCAAGCCAGTCACGCTGCCTTTGCTGCCATTCTTGACGATGGATCCGTCGTGACCTGGGGTCATGCTGACCACGGTGGTGACAGTAGTGCTGGGCAGGGTAAGCTGCAGAATGTGCAGCAGATTCAAGCTACACACAAGTTCAATTTTGAGGGCCCTGGCGCTTTTGCTGCCATTCTTGGCGACGGATCCGTGGTCCCCTGGGGTGGCATCGCCCCCAGTCGTGCTGCCCAGAATCAACTGAAGAAGTGTGGTTTTTCTGTATGTGCAGTTAGTTGGACACGGTTTCCATTGACTCTTACAGAGTTTCGGATTCAGGTTTTAAAGGTTAGGATCCTATAATAGTTTAAACATGCTAACCAACAAAGGGAACTGTACGGGAGACTACGAGGAGGGTTGCAGGTTTCGGGTTTGGGTTTTAGCCTTTACGGTTACTTGGTTGCATACGAAGAGCGTCGTATGCTTGTAGGGTTTAGGGTTTAGGAAACCCTAAGCCCTATAAAACTCTGTAAACCCTAAACCCTGTTTGAATCCTAAACCCTATCTGCAAGGGTCTTTATCCGGCTTTTTGGGGTGTTGCGAGGATGTCCTCGGGGGTTTAGAGGTATTAGGTATGAGAATGGGGTATGGGGATCCTCATATGGTTTGTGGCCTTGAAAGGTTCTACAGCTCTCCTGGGCTTCTTAAAGTTTTTACATGAATCCATAAAGGTTCCAACATGATCGATATTTTTATTTTGTAGAGGTTCGAGGTTTTCTAGGAAAAAAGACTTTTCAAGGGTGTTAATAGCGGTTGATAGGGTTGTAGGTGTTTTGCAGTCGGGTTTCAGGTGTCCGGTGGGTTTAGGGGTTCAGAGTTTAGGGTTTAGAGTTCAAGGTTTCGGGTTTAGGGTTCAGAGTTTCGGGGTAGGGTTTAGGGCCTCAGGGTTCAAGGTTGCTACGTCAACTGCCATTAACCCTAAACCCTAAACCCCAAACCCTAAACCCTAAACCGTGATACGGTGTCCATTGCAGCCGGTCGGTTGTAGTCTCCATCAGGGGGGTGCTTGGGGTTTAGTTGGGTGATGAAGGTTTAGAGGGTTTAGGGTTTAGGGTTTTATGGGTTAGGGATTAGAGCTTCGGGGTTTACAGATAGGGTCTTTTTCGGCGTGAGGTGCAGCTGAAAGTTTGAGGCCCTCAACTCTAACCCATTTTAAGGCTCTAAGCGCCCCCCCCCCCCCCAGCCACAACACCCTGTCCCGAAGGATGTGGGTTTCGGTTTAGGGGTGTAGGGGTTCAGGGTTTAGGGTTCAGAGGTGTATGGTTTAGGGATGTTTAGTTTGAGGGTTTAGAGGCATATGGTTTAGGGCTTAGGGTCTACCGGCACCAGACCGAGCAGCGAAGCAGGAAGCCCGTCGCGAAAGGGCCTACCTGAGGATCCGAGAAGCCATCAGTTTTAGGGGTTTTGTGGGGGGTTTAGGGTGAACGACCTGGGGTTTGGGGCTACCGGTAGAGGTATAACCTAGAGAGCCCACTACCCTTTGACTGACGAGCATTCCTGAACTCATACTGCTTGCAGTATATGGGCCTATGAATCCCACAGACCCTAAACCCTAAACCCTAAACCCTAAACTCTAAACCCTAAACCCTAAACCCTAAACCCTAAACCCTAAACCCTAAACCCTAAACTCCTAAACCCGAAGTCATCTCGACAAGGTGGCCTCCGCCACAACCTCACTATGAACTCGCCGCTGAAGGCGCTCGCGGCTAGGGCAGCAGCTCCGGGCTACCGTTTGGGGTTTCAGGTTTCAGGGTTTAGGGTTTTAGGGTTAAAGATTTAGGGTTTAGGGGTTTCGGCTTTCGGGTTCAGGGTTTCGGGTTTAGGGTTTGGGGCTTCTAGAATTTAGGGTTTAAGGTTTTGGGTTGAGGGTTTGAGGTGTCGTAACCCCCAGCCCTCGAACTCTTGAAAGTTTCAAACCCTAAACCCTAAACACTCAAGGCAACATCCCCAAGCTCACCGATTCACCCTGATTTAGAAAACTACCCATATGCGCACAATTTAGCTAAACCGAGGAGTCGGAATGGTTAGTAAGAACATCCTTGTAGACCCTTTAGGGTTTAGCGGTTTAGGGTTTCGGGTTTATTATGTAGTGAGAATACAACAAAAACCCCCAAACCCTATCCTAATAACTAAGGCCCCTGCAGCCTAAACCCTAAACCCGAAAAGCCCTTTGCCAGGCGATTTGTTTCAACGTCGTCTTAGCGTGCCTGGCTCGTCTCATTGTGCGGCCGACCGTCGAGGCCGAGCTCGCCTCGTAGGTTGGGTCTAGGGTTTAGGGTTTAGGGTTTAGGGTTTAGGTTTTCGGGTAATTTGGGAATTGTTTGGGCTTTTAAGGTGTTTGGGGGTCTAGGGTTTAGGGTTTGGGGTTTGGGGTTTTAGAGGGTTTCTGTAGGCTTTTGCGGTGGTTGATGATAAAATTTTATTCAGTGGGCTTTGCAGGGCGCTGTTTGGTCGTCGGTCCTCAAAGCGCGTTACAATAGATCTCCACGGCTTTCAAAGAGCCTCCATGGTGTACGGATATGACAGTCTATCGCTTTTGAGACAAGGAGCTCTGTCATGGAAGAAGCATCAACAACATATGGGTAGTTCTCTAAATTAGGGTCCCTTTTTCGGTCCCCAATATAGTACGCCGTATAAAAAGGACCGCAAAAGGGACCCTGATTTAGAAAACTACCCATATACAGGCAATTTAGGGACCCGGATACCAAAAGAATACACTTGAAAAGCCAAAAATGCAAACACTTTAAACTCATGTGGCAGGCATCCTAAACATGGCACATCAAACATGAACACAAGACAGGAAACATAAAGCAAACCAACAACAGTTTTTAACACAAACCGCACATGAACATGACAGTAGACAACATGAGCAGGCCGGACTCCCAGATTAAGACCTGAAGTCATAGAACTGAAGGTTGGGTACGTTGCTCTTTGGGTAGTTATTCGACGTGTTTTTGCACGAGAAGTTCGTCGATGACACTTTTATTTTGGAGAGGGGAGGCGGGGAATATAGGCGCCTTAATAATTGCCTAAACTATTTTGGGGTTTCCTTATTATTATTGTAGTTATATTATAATCATAGACCCCAGAACCCTATTCTAATTATTACGGCCCATACATACATAAAGGGTCTCGGGCTTTGGTTCTTAGGGTTTACTGCCCTGAGGACCCTCGATCCTTTCAAGACCGTAGAAGGCAATCCCCAACCCTAAACCCCCAAATTCGAAACCACTATAAGACCGTTGCATGATCCCTCGCAGTGATCCCAGCAAGAACCTTCAACACCAAATCCTAAACCCTAAACCCTAAAAGCCCTAAGCCCTAAACCCTAAACTCTAAACCCTAAAAGCCTTAAGCCCTAAACCCCAAACCCTAAACCCTAAAAACCCCTAAAAACCCCTAAAAACCTTTTAAAAACCTTAAAATCCCTAAACCCAAAGCCCTGAACGACACGATTCGCGTCACTGAGGCGGAGGGCAGCGGCTTCCCCGAGATGAAGGCCATGCTGCCGCTTCATCCTCATGGCTTGTCGGGCTTTCAGGGTTCCTTCAAGGGTATAGGGTTTAGGGTTTAGGGTTTAGGTTCCTTCAAGGGTACCTGATAGTGAGCCCCAAAACGGGTTGGGTTTAGGGTTTAGGGTTTAGGGTTTAGGGTTCAGGGTTTAGGGTTTAGCGTTTAGGTTATACTTAAAGGATCATGGGACTTAGTAAGTAGGGTTATAACTAAGGTAACTATACTTATAACCCCAATTAGGGGACTTATAACCTTACTTACTAAGTCCTCTAAGTAGTAAGCCCCAAAACGGGTTTAGGGTTTAGGGTTTAGAGTTGGAAACCGGATTAAGGACAACTCGTGCTGGGATTCCCTATACATTACTCTTAGGGATCTATGCATTACTCTTAGGGATTGAGGCCGTTGAGCTTCCAACTGTTGTGCTCTAGGGCACCCCTTAAGGTGCACTATAGGGTTCTATAATACCGGCAAAAACCCTAAAACATACACCCAAAACCTTAAACCCACAACCCTAAACCCGAAACCCTAAACCCTAAAACCCTAAACTGCAAAAACCCTAAAGCCTACACCCTCATCCCCAGAAGCACAATGATCTAGCGGCCTGAATAATTACCATTCTTATTCCTCCGGGTTCTCTTTTATAGTGATGCTAGTTTCTAGGCCTGAATATTTGCCTAGGTTAATCCTTCGGGTTCCCTCTCATAGTTATACTATGATCTCCCCCAAAACCCTGCTCTAGTTTAGGGTTTCGGGTTTAGGGTTTAGGGTTTGCTACGAGGGACATTGGCCGGGCGAGCTCCAATCAAGCGTGTGTAAAAAAGGGTTTAGGGTTTAGGGTTGTTAAGGCACTTTTTTTTTTTGCTAAGCCTTCGGTCGCAGCCGAACCTCTCCTGATCCCAGAGCTTCAAAGCCTTCAGGGCTCACGGGGCCTTTATTCAGGTTCATAAGCTATAAACTTTAAAAGGTGTTGTATTTTTTTTATGGGGTCTTATAGGTTTCAGGGGGATAAGGTTAAAAAGGAGCCTTTTGGGTTTATTGGGTTTCACAACGGCTGTTTGAGAATGCCATATGGGTTTTACAGGGTTATCTTGCATTTTTTACTCGGCTTCAGTGTGGTTACTGTACCAAGATCCTCAATGTGGTTTAGAGATTTGGGGTCCCCTTTGAAGCTCGCATGTTTGGAGTCGATAGTTTCAGGTTGAGGGGGGGTTCTTTCTTTATTTGTTTAGGCTCAACCCTAAAACCTAAACCCTCAACCCTAAGCCCTAAACCCAAGGTTCCTTTGAGAGAAGCCCTTAAAGTAACCCTAGGTTCATTTTAAAGGAGCGCTTAAAGAAACCCTAGGTTGCTTTTAAGGGAACCCTTAAAGAAACGCTAGGTTCCTTTTAAAGGAACCCTTGAGGAAACCCTACGTTCCTTGTAAAGGAACCCCAAACCCGAACTAGACCCTACACCCAACAGCCCTCAACAAAAACGTTTACACACCCTACAGCCAACTCCGTTCTGCAACACTAAACCCTAAAGCCTAAACCCTAAACCTTAAAGACCGTAAACCCTAAACCCTAAACCCTATTGACCGTAAACGGCTTCGCTCCTTAGTGACTAGAGGCCAGAGCAGCGGGTTTAGGGGTTCAGGGCTTTGGGTTTCGGAGTTAGGGTTTACACCATGATGCTTCAAAAAAGGTTTAAGAGTCTAATGAGGTAAAAGAAGGGGCCTTACAGAATTACCTATACTATCTTCGGGGTTCCTTATTATACTTATCGTATAGTGGGCCCCAAAACCCTATTCTAATCCTTAAACCTTAAACCCTAAACCCTAAACCCCAAACCCTAAATGGCACCTACAGTAGCTGGGGGGGCGGCCTAGGGTCGTCACCACTTCAACCCTCTGCAACCCAGGTTCGGAAAAGTGCTCTTCAACTTCCTGACTTTCCGGGTGCCACGGTCCTTTAGGGTTTTAGGGTTTTAGGGTTTAGGGCTTAGGGTTTAGGGTTTAAAAAGTTTAGGGTTTAGGGTTGAGTTTAGGGTTCAGGGTGCCAGCTTGAAGTAGCAGGGTGGAAGTTGGACCTTCCTGGCCTGTTTACAGGCTGAAATGTTCAACTAATTAGATGCGCGGCTGTTTGTAAAGGCTTCTTGCGCGGTGGTACCGGGTCTTCATAGTGTCGGTTCTCCACATTATTTTCTCTATTGTGGTCTTCTGGGGATCCAATCGTACACCTTAAAAATCGCTGAAGCCAAACTGGTACTTTTGGGGCCTTAATTATTAGAATAGGGTTTTGGGGTTCCTCATTATGGTTGTGGTATGATATGCCCCCAATCCCTACAGTATTCTTGAGGACCGAAGGCTAAGCCCTGAACCTGGATTTTTTTGAAACTTCGGTGCTCCAAAGGCTTTGGGCGAGGTGATTCCTGTGGAGCAGATTCAAAGCCATCCGTAGTGAAGAGTTTTAAGAAGGGTCTAGAGTTTAGAGTTTAGGGTTTAGGGTGTAGGGTTTACAGTGTAGAGTCCAGGGTTTAGGGTTTGGGGTGTAGGGTTTGGTGTTTAGAGCTTTGACTCAAGTTTAGAATCTTAGAATTTAGCCCTGAGCTTCGAGACCTGGAACCCGAAAACCCTGAACCCTAAACCCTAAACCTTCGAAGACATCGAAGATACTGTGTTGAAGCTTACTTTACCCTAAACTCTAAACCCTAAAACCCTAAAACCCTAAAGCCCTCAACCCTGAACCCTAAAACCCTAAATCCTAAAACCCCAAAGCCCTCAACCCTAAACCCTGAAACCCCAAACCCTAAAGCCCTCAAGCCCTAAACCCCTAAGCCCCAAAACCCTCAGCCCTCCGTCCTAAGACCCCCTACACCACGGGCTTAGGGTTTGGGGGTCAACCTAATATAGGGGCCTTAATAGTTAAACTAGGGTTTCGGGGCCCATTATACTACAATTATAATACGGAGCCCCCAAAAACCCTAAACCCTAAACCCAAAATAGTATTGGTAACTATTTAGGCCCCTACATTAAGCCCAAGCCCCTCAACCCTGGACCTCTGAAGCCGCAAAGCCCTAAGCCCTGAACCACCGTTTGGGGTTTTAGGGCCTTAGGGTGGGGTTTTAGGGTTTAGGGTTTAGGGTTCAGCGGCTCCGGATCGAGCGGTACTATTGTATAGTTGTCATGTTTCGGTATAACACCCACCCACCTAAAGAATACATTGGGGCCGGCTGACCGTTTGTTGCAATAACATTGCGGGCCGATTGACCGCCTTTTGTAATAACATTGGGGGCAGCTTTTTGTAATAAGCTTCAAACTTTCATATAAAAAGAGTGCGTAGGGTTTAGGGTTTAGGGTTTGGGGAAGCCCTATAGAATTCTGAAAAAGGCATTCTGCAAACGGTCATGGGCCAGCCAAAAATGACGTCCCAACTAGATTCTAGATACCCCAGACCCTAAACCAAACTAAAACAAAGTTCGCAGGGCCTGTAAGGGAGCCTGCGCAGAACCTTCAAGTCAAATCCTTAGCCACACATTTAAACCCCAATATTGACTAAAAGAGCAACGGTGCCCGTAAAAGGAGCCTTGCACTTGTAGCACTTACAAACCTTAAACCCTAGACCCTAAACCCAAAAACCCTAAACCCTAAACCGCCCAGGTGTTGGTGTCCAAGGCCCTGGCGCTTTCTCTAGGGGTGGGAGCCGGTCTCCCCCTGGGCAAGGACGGTCTGGGGTCGCCCCCAAACCCTAAATTTGGGGTTTAGGGTTTAGGGAAGCCCCAACCTCGAAACCCTAAACCCTAAACTCTAAACCCTCATCCCCCCTAAGATCTGGGCCCTAAGCTCTAACCCCTAAACCCTAAAGCCTAAACCCTAAACCCTAATCCCTAAGATCTAGGCCCTAAGCTCTAGCCCCTAAACCCTAAACCCTAAACCCTAATCCCTAAGATCTAGGACCTAAGCTCTAGCCCCTAAACCCTAAACCCTAAACCGTTTAGGGTTCAGGGTTCAGGGTTTAGGGTTTAGGGTTCAGGGTTTAGGGTTTAGGGTTTGGGGTTTAGGGTTTATAGAGGATTGTTGGGCAACGTTCCAAGGACTGACGTTAATGACCAGAGTTTGCATCGGGCTGTACAGTTTTTATATACTGGGCTGGGTGAGCCGAGGCTTTCGTGAGGTGAGAAGAGGCTTTAACGGGTCTCGGCTGTGTTGTGGTTTCAGGGTTTCAGGTGGTTTGGTTTACGGAGCTTAGGTTGCAGGATGAAGGCTACTGGTAAGTAACCCTACAGTAGACCCCGAATAACTAACACGAAGGACTAGACATTGGGTTTCTGCTAAGTCTTCAATTTCGATCCCCTAGACCCTTGCGAAGAGGTGGCCAGAGGAGGTACAGGGGCCGCACAGGAAACGAATCAACATGGCGAACTTTCACCCGGACAGCCTTTGCTGGCTTCTGGCTTCTGCGGATCCCCACGCAGCCTCGGTGTCGATCTGGAAGGCAAAAGTAGGGCTCTCGAACTACACGTGGTTCCTCTCGAATTTATGGAGGACTATGCAAAAAAGGCAGCTTACCGGCCCGGTGATCCCGCTTTGGCTACCTGCAGGTTTCTGCAAGGTGGGAGGATCACGTGGTCGTTGAGGATCTGGTTCTTCTCGAAGCTGGACACGAGTCCGGAAGTAGCCGTGACCCTCGCTGTGCTTGGATCCTGGAGCATTGGCGGTCCGAGGGGGTGCTTTCGTCTAGGCCTTCGTGGTATCATTCCTGCAGCAAAAGTTGGATAGAGGGGCGAATTCGGAAGAAGTGGAGCAAGCACGCAGGGAAGCCGAAAGCGAGGCAACCAACGCCCGGCAGATGCCCGTGCCTGTGATGATGCTGCTGCTGCCGCTAAGGTCCCCTTGGACTCGTCCGGCGACGAAAGGGATTCGGCTCATGACCCTTTGGATGTCAGGGCTTGGCCAACACGGACAGTCGTTCTGCGGCTGGCTTAATTTTGAGTGACTCTGAACTGGCTCGTTTCGAGGTATGATTGGGCCTTGGAGCGGGCCTGTTTGCCGACTACTGCATCTGTGTTGCCCCCCCATTTAGGCAACACACACGCAACTGCTCGAACAACCGCAATCCCAAGCCCTACATAAACCCTAGACCCTAAACCCCAAACCCTAACGGAGTTTGGGGGTTAGGTTTAGGTCCCAGGCTCTAGGGATCAGGGAGTTTAGGGTTCAGAGTTTGTGCTCCTGAACTCCGGCTCTAGGGGCTGAGAGTCAGGGATTTAGGGTTTAAGGATTGACGGTTTAAGATCCTGAGAGGGAATTTAGGGTTTAGGGTTTAGGGTTAAAGCTGGTTTAGGGTTAAAGCTCGAAAACCCGTTTTGCACTTAAAGATATTAGGGTTTATGCTGCTTCAGGGCTGAAGGGCTTGACAGCTTTGTGGGCATCGAGTTGTGCAGGGGTACTTATGGCTTGAACCATATACCTCTTGTCTAACTAACGGGGGTCTTGGTCCAAACACTAAACCCTAAACTTATAAACTCTAAGCCCTAAGCTTTAAACTCTAACCCCTAAGCCCTAAATTGTGTACAACAAAGGTGCGCCTGCACAACTTTAAACAACCCTAAGCTGTGGGGTCTTGGTCAACTGCTTTTTCAGGTTTGGGGCTACCGGGCTCCAGGTTTACCACCAGGGTGTGAGGACTGTAAGGCTCACGCACTGAACTCCGAAGACCACACCCGCCAAAAACCTGGTAATGTAGGGGCCTTAATTAGAATAGGGTTTTGGGTATATCATACTATACTTTTAATGAGGACCCCCCCCCAAAAAAAAAAAATAGTATTGGTAACTATTTCGGCCCCTACATGATGTCCGGAGAAAGTCATGCAAAGACCCTGAAGAGACTTTGGTAGCTGCAAGGGATTGGAGCTTCAGATGTCTGCCCAACCCGCCTGAACCCCCGACTAAGCCCGACGAGCCGCGAGGAGGGTCCCAATGTCCACCTGGCTGCCTGCGTCGCTCGTGTGATCCACCCCTCCTTCTTCGATTCTTGGGCCCTTGAAATTTTCGGATGTAGAATTTAGGGCAGTTTAGGGTCTATGGCGTGGATGAGTTGAAGGGCATTACTCTGTCTATTTGGGACTTGCCGCTTGTCAAGCTAGTGCCATGCCACAGGAGAAGCGGGTGCACAGCAGCCACGGCGCGCACGGCGCCGGCGGCAGCGGCGTTGGCTCGGCCGTCTCAAAGTTGCTGCTAGCGGCCTGTGCCGTGGGCGTTGGTGCATCGTTTTCTGCTCCGATTGGTGGCGTCATCTTTGCCCTGGAGCTTATGCTGCCACAGACCTACGATGCCGTGGCCTTAGCGCTAGCCATGTCCCATATGGGAAGTGTAGGGCTGACCACAATCTTCATATCGACTATAGGGATGTTTATACCTTGCCATCAAGGAGCCCTAAACCATAAAGCTTACTATGCTGAGGCATTTGCATACTGGGGCTGCTTCACCGCCGGCATCATCGGTGCCATCACCTATGCCGTTGAAAGGACTCTGACAAGCGGAGGTGCAGAGATCTTGCCCTTGATCAGCTCCAACGTACCGGTGTCTCCAATTTGAGGTGTGGTGTTTAAGGTTTAGGATTTTGGATTTTGTGTTTCAGCATCAGGATATATCTAAGGAGTCATAACCTCTCATTTTAGCTTTAGGTTTTGGGAGCAGAGGTACTGCCTCATGAGGGGGTGCAGACCGAGTTCCCAGTACTACGGATCGTCGTGGACATCTTTCTGGGCAGCCCGGCTCGCGACATCGGTAGATGCGTCCTTCCCCAAGCGTGAGCAGCAATGGCGGAACCGTTCCTTCCCCTTCCTGAGTAGTTTTGCTATGACAGTAAGCCCTAAACTCTACTGGCATGCCCTGAACCGCAAACCCTAAACCCTAAACCCTAAACCCTAAACTCTAAACCCTCCAGCCCTAAACTCTAAACCCTCCAGCCCTAAACCCCTAAACTCTAGCTTTAAACGTTAAACCCATCAAACACCCTGTCTCTCCGAGGGCTCCTGGGGGTCTAGGCTTTAGGGTCCTTATTACTGGTACTAGGATCCCTATAGTGTTTCCTTATGGGTTTAGGGTTTAGGGTTTAGGGTTTAGGGTTTAGGGTTTAGGGTTTAGGGTTTAGTTTCCTTATGGAGGGGGAAGGGTTTAGTACCCCGGGTTCAACCTTCGGGTTCCGAGCTTACGTTTTCCTGTGTCTCGGCTTAAGGGGTTTAGGGTTTAGGGTAGGTAGGGTTTAGGGTTGTTTAGGGTTGTTTAGGGTTGTTTAGGGTTGTTTAGGGTTGTTTAGGGTTTGAGGGTTTAGGGTTTTAGGGTTTAGGGTTTTAGGGTTTGGGGGTTTAGGGTTTTAGGGTTTAGGGTTTGAGGGTTTAGGGCTTTATTGTTTAGGGTTTAGGGTTTAGGGCTTTATTGTTTAGGGTTTGGGGTTTTCGGCTCAGGGTTTAGGCCTAAACCCTTCCTCGCCTGCATTGTCCGAGTGTGAGAGCCGAAACCCTTCCTAAACACTAAACCCTGAGTCCTGAACCCTCAAGTCCAAGCCCTGAACCCTAAACCCTAAACCCTAAACAGTAATTCAGGCTCGTCCTTGCTAGAAAGGAGGGAAAAACACTAGAAACCCTGTCCCCTGATGACCATCTCTCCCCTCAAGGCCCCGGAGAATCTCGGCCTGCATCCGCCCAGGTATCATCTGCGGCCTTTCTGGAGGCATCTGGGTTAGGCCCGGAAGATGAGTTTTTAGAGTCTCGGGCTTGGGGTTTAGTTGTAGTGGGAAGGTTGAGATTAGGCCAGGCACTGATATACCTGCACCCTAAAAACCCACGCCCCAAAACCAAACTGTTCATTCTGCATGTTCGGCCCTGGACATATGCTATATGGTCCAGGAGGCCAAGCTTAATTGGTGCCGAAAGCCATGTCTGCTACATACCCAAGTGCCAAGCACCTCAGGCTCAACGCATCGCGTACTTGAATCACAATTGCCAGAGGAAGCGTAAATCGCAAAGGCTGCTTTTGAGCATCACGCCCGGATGCCCTCTCCCCATCCGTACAGTCGAGTCATCACATTCAAACTAGCCATCGTTGCCACCATCCGCATTATCGTCGCAAGTCACGATCATCACCAGCACCAACATCATTCTCATTGCTAGTGTTGGTGTAGTTCGTTTTGCAAGTTGTGAGCCTGACTCTGATGTTGATGATGATCGGTCTTGTCACTCATACGGTTGATGGACAAAATCCTGCATGACTTTCTATACCTAAACTATGGGATTTATGGTGCTATACTATATTTGGGTCATGCAGAATTTTGTCCATCAACAGTACCAGTACTAATCGTAAAGCTCACTGGCAAGCCTTTCTATCCCCTGGCCAGCGCAAGCCTTAACCCGGAGTCTCCAACACCAAACCCTACTCAAAGGTTCCGGGGACTGAATAGCCAGGGTTGTAAGTAAGGTAGCTATACTTATTATCAGTTAGCACCCAGTTGTTGTACTAATAACCTTAGTTACTAAGTCCCATGAACTTCCAAGTAAGCCCCGACTCGAAACCCTTGAAGCTTCAGCCCTCAATAACACTGCCCGATAAAACCCCGCAAAGGAATCTCGTAAAAAAAGGACAAGGAAAAAGCATACGCCGACAAAGACAATACGACGATACCAGGGAACAAAACTGCACGAAACGCGAAACCCCTGAAACTCTAAACCCTTAACCAAGCAGGTCACACGCCTACGTTTCCGGGGTGCTAAAGCGGTGGCGCCTACGCGAGCCTACTCTGGTTTCACAAGGGGTTTCCATAAGTTTCGGGTTTAGGGTCTAGAGATCAGGCTCCACAAAGCGTTCATCGGGTTCAGGATTTATGCGTAATTACACCGTCTCATAACGAATTCTTTTTTGCAAGTAGCTTTGTTTGAATAGAGTCCTGTCAGGGTTTCTAGAATGGATCGAAAAGGATTGTCGAAGGGCTTTCGGGTCGACTGCTTAGAGGATCATGGGACTCATGCAGTAACTCCGGTTTTAAGGGTTTAGGGTTTAGGGTTTAGGGTTTAGGGTTTCGGGTTTAGGGTTCTATGAAAATTACAAGTATGGTTTCAATGCTTTCTATATCGGGTTACTAAGTCCCGTGATCTTTTAAGAAGGGACCAAAGTCGTTGGGGTCAGGGTTTGAACTTTGGTTTCAATTTCTCTGGCTAACATTTGAAATGCAGGCTGGCCTTCTGGATTTAGGGTTCAGGGGTTTATAACCGAAAGGGTCCGGACTTAGGGTTCAGGAGTTTTGGTAATTTATGGCCTCAGGAGATTTATGCCTCAGAACCCTTTGGCGAACCTTGTGCCCTAAATCCAAGAACGCACCAGGAACCCTTCTAACCCCCCAAACACCCCATGAATCCTGTTTTGCATTGAGAAAGACATTGTCAATCTTTAGGGAACCATATGAGCCTCATGCGGCTGGAAAGGAGCTACGAGATCGAGTTTGTTTGCGTAATATAGGGACCTTAATTTTTAATTAGAGTAGGGGTTTGCGGGCTCCTTATTCTAATCATAGTATAATATACCCCAAAACCCTATTCTAATTGTTAAGGCCCCTACATTAGGTTCCCACATTTGCCACGACGTTGCTGGACACGCCTCGTGTGGTGGTGCGACACTCGCGATTTGTTGCACGGACTTGGGAGCGCACAAGAGCGCTTGCATCCACATGCGAACTTTGCGAAGCATTAGAAACCGAAGGCTGCATGGCGATGTAGCGTCAACTCCCAAACGCATGTACTTTCACACCTTCCAAGCATGAACCCTCGTGCTGCACATGCGGGCGGAATTACAACCCTCCCTCCGGGAAAACTAACACACCCAAACTTTATTGAGTAGAAATTACCACCTGCCAAAGCATAGCCAGGCATAATCCTACAAAAACCGCGAGACAGAACACGCTGAGGAGAGCTCCAAGTCGGGGGCGTCAGGTGGCAACCAACAGCCTCTCCTTAGCCAGGTGCCTCGATTTATAGGATTAGGGTTTAGGGTTTGGGTTTAGGGTTTAGGGTTTAGGGTTTAGGGTTTAGGGTTTTGGGGTTCACCTGAGCACCCTGAGAAACCAACCCTCTAAGGGTTCCTTATTACGTTTTCCTTGCATGGGTCCTTCGAAAGGGAGGTTTGGCGGTAGCTTTTAGGATTGAAGCTTTATGCTGGGCCTCTTTCCCGCACAAATGCTAAACCTCAAACCCCAAGACCGACATGCGCGCTGCACCCAGGGGCGAGGCAGCCGTCGCAAGCGATGGCTCCTCTGGCTCTTGGGAGGAAAGTGGCGCGATCTGGCTCTGGTGGCAGCCATAACTGTCTTGACCCTGGGCTCTCAGGTTTAGGGCTTTTGTGTGTAGGGTTTGAGGTTAGTGCAGTGCAGTCCCTGCCAAAAAAAGGGCTTGAGGTTTACTGAGGTTTAGGGCCTCGGGTTTAGGGATGCTATCTAAAGCAAGTAGTGATGCAGGGCTTGGGTTCAGACTTGCAAAGGTCAACCCTAAACACCAAACCCTAAGCCCTCAACCCTAGGGAAAACCCTAGATGGGTTCATTTTGAAGCTACACCTTCGTTTTCAGCTCGGGGGTCCCGGGTCAGGGAGTAGGGTCCAAGCTTGTAGGCACCCTAAACCTTATTTCCTACATTTTAGGATGTAGAGATTAGAGTGTAGGAAGTTTAGGATTTAGAGTTTGGGGTATTGGATCTAGGGCTAGATGCTAAACCCCAGACTCAGAATGCAACGTCGAACCTGATCTCTCCTAGGTATGTCGACTGTCTGTAGACTCGCTATGAACTGGATGAAACCGAAAATAGAGGCCTCAAGAAGTAGATGCTATTCCAAGGGTTTGGGTTTAGGGTTTAGGGGGTTCCTTGATATAGCATCTTTCTCAGTTTGTGTGCATAGGTAGAAAAACAGATAGAAACGAACACATGTGTTTGTTCAATTGTACCCGTTCGACTTTTACGCAAAGAGAATTCGCAAAACTGCAAATCGCGAGAGGACATTAAGTTACAGGATTGCATGGGTTGTGGGTGCACAGGTTGTGGATTCAGGCATTGTAGCCTGGCGCCTAGGATACGCGGCAAATCCTACACCTTAAACCCACAATCTTAGAAGCATAAACTTTGAACTCCAAACTCCAAGCCTTACAATCTTACTACGTGGCGTTCTTCTGGTTGGCCGGGCTCCTCTATGAACTATAATAAGGCGGCTAAAAGTATAACTTTTAGGAGGGGTTCAGAAGGCAGCCAAGATTGAAGTCTAAAGGCTAGACCCTGAACCCTCAAACCCTCAAACCCTAAACCCTAAACCCTAAACCCTAAAACCCTAAACCCTCAACCCCTAAACCCTAAACCCTGAAGGCCAAAGCTCTGAACCCGAGACCCAAGTGCAACCCGCCCCTCGCCCA